TATCTATTTCAACTTTCCGCGTTTCCGCATCTTGCCCTTGCTATCAAACTCTGACTATACTCCTTCCTACCTTTACACAAATACTTAGCCAGCATCCCTGTTCTTATATATCTATAGGTAATGTTGTGTACTTAGGGCCCTTTCTATTTGGTTATATTGCTCTTATTTTTGGATTTTCTCTACCCCTTTTTCTCTTAACTTCTTCTTAGCTTCTCAACCCTCAACTGACTGACCGCATCCTTCTTAAATACTCCCTCTTCTCTTTATGTTGTTGTTGTTGTCTGCGCTCGAACTTCCTGTTTTTCTGTTATATATTTTTTTAACAATTTCCTTACTTCTTTTTTCTTCACCTGTTCTTCAAACTTCGTCGCTTGTTGTCTTGTCTTAATTCGTACTTTATCTCTCTTTGAACTCTTCTAAAACTATGTAAATCCAGAGTACTTCTAAAACCTAGTATAGGAATCGACGGAAAAATTTTGAGAGACTCAACGAGAATCGAACCCGGGACCTTCGGCTTAGCAAGCCGAGGCTTTGCGCACTACGCCAACTACTCCCTCTGTATTCTCCCTTGTCGGTTTCCTATTTGGGTATGGAGACCCTGTTACTACACTAGTATCCATTCTCTTTCTCTCTCTATCGCCATATCTTCACATCATACATTAATAAACTTAACACTAACATATTAAACATGTACATTCTTAATCTAAAGTCATTCTTAAACTTCTTCTCTCCTATACTCTTCCACTTTCCTATACATTTCCTGCCATATTTCTGTTCCTTTGAAACATGAACTCTTTTATTACTCCCATCTCCTCTCCCTTCTATTTCCATTCAGACCTTCCTGCTTTGCCTCCAGCCTTTCTAAATAACACCACCTTCGTTTTCTTCACATTTAACGTTAGTTCCTTTATGTTAAAGTATTTCTCCAATCTCTTTATACCAGAGCCACGTCATCTGCGTACACCAGCGACTAAAACTTGTCCTTTCCTATTACCATTCCACCCACCTGACCCTTTCTTAACTCATCCTCCATGTCCGTTATGAATATCGCGAAGAGCGGCGAGCTCAGGGGGCATCTTCTTGAGTTCCTTTATTTGTTTTTATATTTTACCATTCGTGAGCTCGTATTCTTCAATGTTTGCTTCTATTGCTTATTCTCTTGCTTTCCCTGACTTCCTCTCATCCGACCCCCCTCCCAACAAATTCATAAAATGCTATTCCTCCATTTTTATTTTATTAGCTGACTCTTCTCTTTTTTCCCTCTCTTCATTTATATATCTCCATATCTGACCCTCCGTTTTCGCATTTTCTGTTTCTTCCTCCTTTCTCTTTTTCTTTCCTTTGCCCTCACATAGTTTCTGGAATTGTGCTCTCCTTACCAGATATCACTCCCTATTCACTTTGTCTGCTTTCCATTTCCTTTACCATTGTCCTACCTTCCCCTTCTTCTTACCATATTTCCTATCACACCAAAAACTTTTGCCCTATCTCTCTATTCTTTACTCTTATTCGTTTTCTTTCCATTGATTTTTTTATTGTTGTCTTAAGCTGCTCCTATTTTCCTTCTATATTCACTTTTTCAAACACTGTCTCTCATTGTAATCTTTGTACCTTCCTATACTCTCTCCACTCCAACATATTATTTCCTTTTCTATTTTCCTATTCCTTTCCACCCCCCGTTGCTATTACTTTCAATGGTTAGTGATCAGAGACTGTTCTATTGTCTATACAGAATTTTTCTATTTTCTCCCTGCCTGCTGTATTGACCAAGACACAGTCTATCACTGTTGTTCTTCTTCTTCCTATAAAAATATGCTCTCCTTTTTCATCTCTGGTTAAGTTTTTGTTAGCAACCTATAAGCCTCTTTCTTCCATCTACTGGAAAACAGTCTTTCTCCCTCTCTGTTCTTTATTATACCTTTTGACTTTCTTTTCCTTTTCTCTTCCTCTGTCTCTGCTATGTAAATATATCCATATCCTCCTATTCTTGCATTAATATCCCCACCAATAATTAGTATTTCATCTTCTGCCTCTCTTACTTCTTCTCTCATTGCTTTTATCACTCTATGCGTGCTTCCGTTGTTATACACTGCTCATACATTCCATATCTTGTTACTTGCTTCTGCATTTTTCGCTATTAACTTCTGTCCTACTGTATTCTTCTCTTGTCTCCCATCTTTCTCTCACTCCAGTAATTATACCTCTCACTTGCTTTTCTTTTTCCTTTTTCTCTTGTGGCTTCTTGACAGCTCCATTTCTTCCACATATTTTCTATTACTTCTATTCTCAGCCCTAACTCTTTTATTTCCTTTCTTATCCTTCTTTTTATTTTTTCTCTGCCTTCCTTTATTTCTTTCTTTAAGCTTTCCATTTTCTTAAGGACATAATCTGCCCAACAGATTTCTTCTTTGTCCTGCATCTTTTCTGTTTTTTTGCTTTGGCTCCCCTCTTCCTGCCTTTCATTTTCCTTTTCTTTTTGTAGTGTTCTTCTGGTATCGCTCTTCTTCTGTGGCTGTTCTCCTTCGTTCCCTTTATCACTTTCCTACTCTTACTCCTTTTCTTTATTCTATAGCTCTAATACTGTTCTGCTGCCAGATCTTTGTCTAATCTTCTTTTGATGGCCTTAGTCTCTTTTTCTTCTTATTCTTCAGTGTCCATGGTGTTCCCCATGGTTCCTTCTTTTCTTTATCTTTTTCGTCCTTTCTATGATCCTCTCTCCTTTCTATTTTTCTTCTGTTCTCAAGCTCTAGTATCTGTCTAACCTAGTGTCAATATGAACTTCCTAACCTCACTTTTCTAACCCTTTCCCGTGACGCCTTACCTTATTCCCTGCTTTCCCCCATCTGCTTCTTTCTCCACATATTCCTGTCTTATTAAGGCTTATTTATCCTACTGTTCAATTTATCTCTAATTTTCACATGTTCTCACAATTTGTTCCACTCACACACCATGCCACTCAATCAAATCAATATATAAATATAAATGATCACAATGAGTATCACGTATGTATTCATCTTTGCTCACAATGAAATCACATACGTGCACTATCACTCGATCCACACATACACACGTGGATGTGTGATTGTGTTTAGTGTATGTATGTACATTGCTATGCATATTCAAAGCCGGGCGCCCCGATAGAGACGTTGCTTGGCTCGCAAAGCACATTTAGACTTCGCTTTCTTCCGGCTTTTTTCCTTCCCTTTGTACGTCACCTCGTGTGGTTCCGGGGAAGACACGGGGTATTACTGATGGCTCGTAGAATGGGTTGGTAAGATATTGCATAATAACAAGCCAGAGTCGGGATATCCTAGTTACTTATTTTTCTCGGCGCGCGAGTATTACCATACTGTTTAATATAGAATAGGCTAGCCGAGCGTGTTGCCAGGACCGCGCAGGTGGACAAGAGCTGTCGGTCG